CACAGTTCAACCTGCGTTTCGATGTCTTTTTCTTTCTCGTTACGTAACGTCGGGATGCGCGCCTCTGCCAGATGTGCGTCTCCGCGCGACAACGTCGTTGTCGTCTCGACGAGAATTAGCATATCGCCTTTGATGCTTCGAACGGTGACGAGCATCGGTTGCACCGAACCGATTCCGAATCGATCTCACTTCCGGGTTTCGCACACCGCGAGTTTGACAGCTTTCGCGGACCGCGAAAAGCGTGCCGGTCGTTTTGAGACGCCGGGCGAAACTAGTCGACGCGTGGCTACATCACTGCGGCGGTCTTTATCCCTACCGCGAGCGAGCTACCTCTTCTTCGTCCGCATCTTCATCGCGCGTCACGAAACCACCGCCGCAGGTTTCTCTTTCTCGCCCTCGCGACTATTTAAATCTTTTGTAGTCCCTCGTGGTCCAGCAACACCAGGGCCGTGTTGTCACATCCGACGACACTAGCATTGTCAAGTTCTCCCCCAAAAAATAAGAATCCTGATAATACATCGTGCAAAAGTTAGTATTTGCATTATTCAGGCGATTATACTTCCGACTGTGAGGTTTTTGCCAAGTTAATAATGTGACTTGCTGCTTTTCAAATAGTATTTTTTTAATGAAATTGATATGAGTGCACAATTAAAGACTGGGCAGTCTTCTAGCCACGAATTTTGTCAAAATTAGACAAGTTTCGTTGCGTGCGTCTGATAACACTGGTCGACAGTCGCGCGCTTCGGCACTGGTTAACGTCATTGTGTCTTTTGATGTTATTTTAGAAACGTCGCTGGGGGCGTTCTTATAAATTTCGTCATTTTATTATGTGCCTTGACCGCGATATTACGCAAAAATTACAGTTTCGAGTGAGAAATATATGTATCTTTCTCCTGACAAGTCTATGTATTATGTAAATTTATGTGTTTGCATTCCTTATAATTATAGAGTTGCTGCATTACACACACACACACACACACACACGCACTAAATATATCCATGTTAGTGGTTGTCTTATCTATGTAGGTCGAACTTGAAATTTCCTAGCCTACATATTTTTAACTCGGTCCTCTTTCTCCAATAATTCTCAGCGATTTAATATCGCCGGTCGTGAGGAGTGACATTGTCACTTCTTATGTCTGAGATCATCAGTTTTGAAGTCCGGCAGTGGCGTGATATTTTTGATATTGAAGAAATTCGGTGTCGGTGCGAAACGGGGCGATGATAAATTGTTCATTAGACCGGCGCTGTTTCTTCGCGCCGCGATGTAATCTATCAAGAGGTTGAAAAAGGACTCAAAATAATCTCCGCCTGACGTAGGTGGCGTCTGGTTTTCCCATCGAGCGAGCATGAGAGGGGAACAGAAAAAGAGGGTCCAAGGACTGGTAGATTGATCCAACAACTCACTTTGAACCCCGCCGGCGTGCTGTCACTTTTTCTAATCGCGGAAGATTTTCTTCGCACGCCGCTTGAATGCACTACGATAATCCGGTTGCATAATGTGATGAAAGAAAGAAAAAGCTCGTGAGACTATCATGATTCGACTAGAGTGACGGGAAAACATTTTTTGTTCCATTTGTATTAGATGGTTTTAAAATTTCCTAATAATTAATTACTTCGTAAAAGACATAACGCGATACGTGAAATTCGTAATCGCATTTTTATTACACGATTCTTATAGTGAAATATGTTAAACAGATTCGCAGTATTATTTAATTTTGTAAACTATATATTTAAAAAAATTATATATTTGATAAATGATATAATATAATTATTTGTACATAGAAAATATTAGCCAAGAGAAATTAGCAACCAGAAGTTGTGATTACTTATTTATGACTTGACTCAAGGTTATGAATAGTTGAGACAGTTTGAGAAACATTTGAGTTACCGTTTGATTTTATTGATGGACGGCCGAAATCAAAATCAGCTTGACGTTTCAACGGCATTATGTGCGATAGTAAGTCAGAGCGTTTAGCTTTTAGAGTCTGTACAGCGTCGACATCTGGATCTCGATTTCCGAGAGAACAAACGCCACGCCGGAATATTTGCCAAAACAAAGCTTTTCTTGGCTCCCCGGGTAAATAAATCTCGCGAAAATCACGTACACGCGATTCACACGTCGTCATTCAAACTTTTTGCATTAGCGTCATACGACCGTGTAACGCGACCGCATTCCTTCAAGCTCATTTCTCAGTGATGATCAATGTGCAATGTCTGGCAAAAGCTACATGCTACATGTGTACTTACCATTGCTAATCGATTTTTTGTGTTTTTCTATGTACTTTCGACGTAGAAACTTTATAAATTTCTATAAATCTTCTTGAAATTTGTTTAATCGAATTCGATTAATCTGATAATTGGACAGATTATTTCACTTTTAGGCGATTAATTTCTCTTCGAACTGTGCGTGTTTCAATGTGTAATTCTTGAGTGCACGAATATTTATATTTTATAAATTTAACAATTAACTTGATTAATAACTTGGATTTTTTTCTCTCTCGTCGCATTCACTTTTAATTACAACAAATCACACGTAAGAATCTTTTCTCTTTTTTGGATTTTCGAGGCACCGTTTTTCATACTAAAGCAATGTCGTATAGAAAGAAAATCTTTAGTGGATGCGCGGTGGATGCGTTTGGCGTCATCTTGGATTCTCTCGAGCGTATTTAGCAACTGAGTCAAGTCTGCTGGATCGAGTCCGCCGGTACTAGAAACTGGCTTACCCGACTGGACAAATTCAGCGTGTGTGCAGGCTAAGCCTCGAAAATAGTTCGTAGCAAGTTCGTACGGTATATGGCGACTTCGATCTCGTGTTCGCGCGTGTCTATTTGTAGGTGACCGCGGCGCGATGCAGAATCTGTTGCAGCCACATAATGAAATTCCATATGATTATCATGTGTAAAATATCTTCGGCCGCCCGTGTATTGTTCGTGGTAATTCGTAATTTAATTCACAATTGAAGCAATGACAATGAGATTTGCGAGATAATGTCTCTTAATTTCCGAGAGCGTAATTGCAGCGAATGAGTTTATTAAAAGTTTATTAAATCCTGATTTAATAAAGAATAAAAATCCTTAATTAATTAATTCTACAGTGTATTTGAAGAGGGGGGAGAGAGAGAGAGAGAGAGAGAGAGAGAGAGAGAGAGAGAGAGAGAGAGAGAGAGAGAGAGAGAGAGAGAGAGAGAGAGAGAGAGAGAGAGAGAGAGAGAGAGAGAGAGAGAGAGAGAGAGAGAGAGA